CTCCCCCCTACAAGACCCATTAAACCCCTAATCCCTAAAACCTAGACCCTGAGTAGTAGTAGTAGTAGTAGTAGTAGTAGTAGTAGTAGTAGCAGTAGTAGTAGTTGTTGTTGTTGTTGTTGTTGTTGTTGCTGCTGTTGTTGTTGGTGGTGGTGGAAGTAGTAAAAATCTCCCTCAAAATGGTGGTAGCGGTGGTAGCTGTGGTGGCAGTAACGGCAGGCACTAGCACTAGCAGTAACTAGCAGCATCAGCGCCAGCACTAGCACTAGCAGTCACAGCAGCAGCAGCAGCAGCAGTAGCAGCAGTCACACGCCTGCAGACCGCATGTGCTCGCCTTGAAGCCCCCTGTGCTCCGTGACGGGAACCATGTCTATTTCTAGCTGGGATTAAACCCGAAGACTTGGAGAACTACGCATGCACAGGGAACCAGAGCTCAATTAGCCTGGACGGGCTTCGTTTGCACCTGAATGCGATTGAATGCGGAATGAGAATTGAAGGTTCTGCTTCTACAAGATGGATTCCAAAAACGATTGTCTGGAAAAGTACACCCGCAGTTGTAGGAGTTTGTAAGCCACCTTGCTTTTAAACGCTTCAAGATGATTTCCAGTCGACAGTCATTAGCCCCTGATAACCAGCCATACCAATACCCTTCACTTGCACTTCAACGCAAAATCCGACACGTACCGCACTGCCCCATGCAATCCTTGGTCCTTGTAATATCCTGAAAGCGCGAAACAACAAATGTCCTATGATGAACTATGGCAAAACGTGTTCATCTGAACATGTCAAAGCTAATGAGCCACCTATCAGACCTATCAGAGCCTTTCATTCCTATTGCTTCTCGCATGGCCCCTATGCAGGTGTGACGGTGAGGGCTGAGGAGTGCTTGGTCTTACCTGTGAAAACCCCCTGCACGAGCGCATCCCCTCTTCCTGAAGCAATAAGCACCGTATATTGTATGTACAAGAGAACTGGTATGAAGGTGGAGACCCTCCAATCTAGCTTGGCAAAGAATCTTTAGGCCTCTTGGTCCCACCATCTTCGGACCTAGGGACACCTAGCTTAACCTGAAACTATCGTGTTCCATGAGATTGCAACTCAAATGTGGGGCCCAGAGCTCCCTTCGCCCTCACTGTCCCTAATTACAAGTCTTGCGATCAGTACGAGTGGTGTTCGACTCTTGCAGTTCATACAGCTATTGTGGTAGACTAACTGGACAATGGCTGGTTTTACTTTCCTGCCGTTCATGCAACTGGTGATACGATTCTGGGCTACCTTAGTATACCGCAACACCATACTGCCCCAAGGCTGTAAGCACTTTTGAGCATCAACGGTAATATCACTCTTTGGCGTTGCGCGGCTTGTGGTCAGATCATGAGCATTACCAGGACCTTTGCTGCAGGGCGGTTACTCAAAGTAACTCGTACATCATCCGCAATCGGGACCCCACGTATATTCCCCATACCCCTCCCTACGGCCCCCCAGCTTCAAGAAGCGACTTTAAACAGCTATAAGGAGAATGCGCTATTCCGCATGTATCAATACCCAACACTCCCTATCAGCCATTGTTCCTCATAAGAACCAAACAGAACGGGAAATGCTTCACATTCCAACCCCTAAACCTTTGAACATCAAGGGAAGGGGACTAGTCCGACTAGTCCGCTTCTATTCATCCACGCCTTGCTCTTAGGCTTTCGTGGGCGAGAACCCATACCTGAGCTGCGATTCAGATTTATGTGTTGATCCCCTACTAGTACGTAATAGTGCGGAGTTAGGAATGATGGATTGCGGAACCATGCCCTCAAAACTTTGGCGCCGTGGATAGATCTAATTCAGAGGGCTATGCCACGCGAGCATTCAAAAGCCATTCCATGAAAATAGATCTGATGTCACTGGGAGGCACCATCAGCCCACACCATGAACAAAAATTCAGGACCATGACCACGTAGTCAACAGCCTGGACATGGAGATTGCAAAGGGATTGTGGGCGTCTGCATTTCTACTACGACCTGACACCCCATCTATATTCACGTGCAAGATGCCTGAACGCAGGAAAGCTTCTTCAACATGATCCCTGCTCGTCATCCCATTCATACCCCACAGCCTCCATGGCTTACGACTTGAATTTGTTACCCACCGCCCTGGAGCACCCTCCCATATCCCTTTGGTTTTGGGGGCTCTCCTAACCGCTAGATTGGTATTGGGGACCCACAGAAATGGTCATCTGGCGTTCTGGTCTTGACCCTAGGATTCCTTTGTACTTGACATATGTCCCAAAACTTAGGGCTTCGCTTCTCTGGTGGCGGCGTAGCTGTTGCGTCGAATCGCTTCGGAACACTCTGCCTCCGCAAGCATGGATTTCAGAGCATGAACATCAGCAGTTTTGGATTGAAGGGCTCGGTAGGCTTCAGGATAAGTTTGGGAGATGAGGGTGTAGGACTTTGGGAGGCAGTAAGGGAATGTACGTTGGTGATCCCCTCTGTATAGGTAGTGGACAAACTGACTTACCATGTTCGCTGCAGCATCCTGCAAATCCCTTTGGATCCGCTTTGAACCCCTTAGCTGTAAGCACTCCAATTTCCTGTGAAGCGCCACATGGTTTAGGGCTTAAGTTCCATGACACCATGCCAGCAATCCAGAAAGAATCCAGTTCTACTTTCAAACCCTTGTGTAGCCGTCCCTTGCAGCCTATGTTTGGATTTTCGGAAACACTACTTCCAGTCTTGGCACCTGATGTACTGCTTGGACAGTAACACGCATGCCCGGCTTGCCTTGCTTGGAGGACCATATTTCCCAGTGGCACTCCTACAACTATATCCTTACGTACATGTACCCGCACTGATACCGGTCCCCTGATATACACAAATGTTGGAAGGACTTCGGGAGAGGAGCATGATTCTCATAATTATCCTTCCATCAAAACATGCACGGGTACGTAGGCCCACAAGATCCATTCAAAGCACGGAAACACATGCACTCTGGAATTTGCGGGACGCCCGCCATGAAGACAACATTCTTCAGAGTTCGATACCTTCCTTCCCAGAACACCACACAGCTTCCCTGCAATTTGGAGTATCACCCTGTAAGCTAAAAGCTTCCTGCTAAAGCAGTAGCCGTGGTACACACCCATATATCTGCTGTGTCCAGGTTGGGCAGTGTGACAGTCCCACAATATTTGCGCTACGTCAATGTCAATGCACATCTTGATTATGATCCCGATACGAAGCTTGTGATTGCTGTCATTGCTGGGGCTTGTCAATTGAGAGCTAGAATGCCGCAACGAGCTTTCTCCTACACCTCAGAGATCAGCAGTGAAAACTTTGACCCTCACAAATGCAAACTCATTAGTAGCCGCTACTCGCTAGTCCCCTGTGAATCGTTTACAACGGTGAGGTTTTTTGGAACTAAGTAGGGTCCATACCCTAAGTTGCACACACTCCCAATCCCTGCGCTTCTGTGATGATGTATACATATTCATCTATTTCCGCTGTGGCCAAATATTCCTTATGTAAATGCTCGGCAGTGCACCACGACGACGCGTAGTCCACATCATTGAGAGTCTGCAGCGCATGCTCAGAAGGATGCCACCTGTTGACATGCATTTGAATATGAGCAGAATATCCAGGAGGAGTATATCGATCGCGTCTTCCAGTCTACTGGGTGAACCGTTGCTGCTGATGTCCTTGGCATGATTTGTCCTTTATTGTTGCCACTAACCCGTTTGTGATTAGCAGATCATGAAACAGCATAATCACATACTGCTGTGATGGAGATGAAATTCAGCTGGAATCCGGCTACAAGCGAGTGTAAATCAATACTGCGTTGCTGACATTCTTGTCTCAAGACCTGGTCTTGCTTGAGCTATGCGGTCATGCATGTGCGTGTATATATATATATAAGAGTCATTTTTTGCTAACGCCCCACCACGACCACCACCACCACCACCACCACCACCACCACCACCACCACCACCACTACCACCACCACCCTGCCCCGCAACTTATTCATGCTGTGTATGTGACCAAGACTGGACTCTGTCAGATATGCTAATCGCGTCCCCTTTTGAAGCTGTCAAAGATGCTGGAACGGAACTCCATGCGACTTGACCACATTTTGATCAGGGACCATAAGAAACCCTAAATTATCAAGGACGAGACGTCAGTTCCACTTGGAACTGAATTGTCCCCTTAATTGTGTGGCCAAGTGCCAGACCTTCCCAGAACTGCTGGCATTGTGACTAAGCGTTATCTGTCCCAGGTGGGTTACATGCAGGTTCAGACTCTCAGACAAGTGGTCAAAGCCTGCTTGGCTTTGATGTTCTTGATCAGCATGCTAGATTGTTCTCTTCGAATGTTCTATCCCTCTATCAAATCAGCAGATTGCATCAAATGCCAGACACCTTGAAATTCGTTGGCTATTGGCCATTCTTGTTAATGGCTTGCCAGGAACTGGTGGCATCCGATTTGGAATCGGGCTTTTGCGGTTCGTTTGATTAGCAATGTAACAGTTCGCATCACCACTAGTAGGATGGCAGTGAGACCAGTAGCTCAAGGTACGGGACCCCAAGTTGACAACAGTGATTAGAATTCTCCAAAGGTAACCGGAACTTTGAACGATGAAACTCAAGGCACTCCTGAACTTGGTAGGGGTCTAGTGTGCTTGTATTTCAGTGATGGCTGTTCCTCATCAGGGCTGATAAGCGATGAAGACTCTTAGCGAATTCTTGAAATTTCGTTTGGAACTAACTGTTCTTAAACAAGCTTCCAAAGCTCCGGATTGTCTAGGGACTAGCGGCAGTGCATCGGCAAATGCCGATGAGGATGGTGACTTTTTCATTAGCACGTCCGCACACTTCTAAGATGTCTTGAAGTTGAATGATGTTTCAGCTGCATTTCATATGAAGTTCATTGCTCGACATACAGGGCTTGCATTAATTGACATCTGTGATCAATGCAAAGTCTTGATGAAATTCACGACTCGCCAGCATCTGGCTCCAGTCACTTCGCTCTGATTGTTTGCAACTAGGAGGTTGGAGGATCTCTAGGAATTGCAGGTCCTCATTCAAATTCGCTTGTTTTGTGTCCACGAGATGCTGAACTGTCGGAAATGTGAATTGGCACAAGTGCAGCACTGATAGTGAGGTATCAAGCCCTGCTGCAATATTGCATTGGCTTTATTGCCATGCACTATTCTTGCCAGGCAGCCCCGCCAGAATCCATGAAGATTACTGTTTTTGGGAGTCCTGGGAAGTTTTGAGTTCGAAGGCTGCCCCGAAAATTTGCTTCATTGGTTTTGTGGAGACAGCCAAACACACTTACGGAAGTTTATTGGTTTTTTGGTGTCAGCCGCCCAGACTTTTGTGCGCTCCGATGGAAGGCAGCCAACCACTTCACGAATCTTCTGAATGCGGGTTTACTTCTCGTAGAGTGAGCAATTGACACGTTTTGTTGAAAGGAAACGCGCAATGTCGGCTCTATTTACAGCACATGGTGGTCGCCCCAGTTACAATCATCCGAAATCTCCTTGTACCTCGACACGTTTAAAGTTGAATCCGCATTGCCTACAAGGAACCCTAAGACAAGCCGACATGTCCTGTCAGTCTGTGGCTTCATTTGAGGAAAGTTCCCTGCTTCAAGGCCTTGGGATGACTTGGGAGCTGTGAGAACACGTCCCCATTTCTAAAAAAAAGGCTGACGCAGAACACCGATCAAACAGACATCCCGAAGTTCCCTGGAAGTTCAGCAATGCCGCGTACATATTAGAAATGTTAACATTTGCCACGCGATCCTAATAGACCTCACAACCATGAAAATGCACAACCATGCCGGATACACACCAAGCGCGTCTCCCACATAAAGGCGAGGGTACCACTGTACCTGAACACATGAATAGACTGCAGTCCAGGTAGCCTGCCCTGGTCCTCGACGTTTGCTGTTTCAGCAACTTGTCGACTTGATTATGCTAACAGGTTGAGTCCAGCATGCTGCAGAATTGCTGGCAGCAGCATGAAACAATGAGGCTGCCAGCCCACTGCCACCATGATCCCCGAAAATACAAATGATGCAGCCTGGCCTCAAAGCGTCAGCTTTTTGCACATGCCCAAAACCCAAACCCTAGGTCCTGTGCCATAAAATCTGCAAACCCAATACTTCAAACGCAAGCTCCAAAGAAAACGTACCTCTCGGGCTGTGATGCATCCAGCTCGGTCCCTTTCTTCACTGCCGCGGCGTCCGGGCCATGTGGGACATACCTACACATGAGGGTTAGGTCAGGCTGAGGGATTAAGCTTGGGAGTGTTTGGGTCTAGTTCTCTGGGACTTTTTGTGAGGTCTGGCTCAGCCTGCATATGCTGGGTTAGCTCATGAAAAAAGCATCGCCTGGCCAAGGATTCAAACTCTCACGGTGAAAATGGTTGTTTGTCTTCAGGATTGCTGATCTCAGAGCTCGCAGGCATGGGGCCTAGCTTGAGGTGGGCTAGGGATTGCGCTTCTGGAGTCGGATTTGGGGCTAGGGCTTTGTGCTTATAGCTTGCTGGGCTCCGGGCTTAGAGCTCAGGGTTTAGGGGGTTAAGCTGGGTTGAGGGTACAAGGATTTGTGGGATGGGTATGTAGGGATTCCATCACACTGATCCCCTCATAGAGTGTTTATGGACTACACAACATATTGTCTTGAGAATCCCCTGCGAGCCAGACATGCTGCATTGATGGTCCAAATCTTGTGCACCCCAAAACGTACCTTTAAGCACCCCGCCCAAAAGAACATGTCCGAATAATCCTCTGCGCCGAATGACACGCCCCCGCGCCCCAAATAAAAAACTCTCACCACTTCAGGACGAGACTATAATGGGATACTTCTTCCTTGTCGCATGGGTGAGTTCAATCTGGAGGCAGCAGATTGGGAGTGCCCGGGTCCATGCGAAGATGACAAGGATGACTGTTAAGCATTGTATAGGGCCAGTTTGGCAAAAACTTTCACTCTGTCGTCTTGCAGGCAGCCCTGGCACAACGTCCTTTCAATAGGAAAGCTCGCTTTGAAAAGTGCGATGCGCAAACTCCCGTTATGCAGATTTTTCAGGTTCGTGTCAGAATCAACAACCGGACCAGGGACTGCTTCGAAGTGCTGGCGAGAAATTTGGCTTCAGAACTACATCAGATTTGCAGCCTGGGCGCGAGATGCAAAGCTTAAGATAAAATTGTGTCGACCAACATCGGAAAGCTATACATGCTAGGCACAACATGTAATACACCTGTTGTACATGGAGCATGGCTCCCTCGCGACTCTAGCTAAAGGTTAGAATTCGAATGCCGCGCCTGTTGTGGATCGAGGAAGCACCCGGAAGGAAACTGTCCTCCGAGGAAGCATGCGACAATGTTAATCCAAATGGATGAACATACAGGCACCAAAGGCTAGACTAACACTCAACCGCAACTCAAGGGAAAAATGAAGTCGTACAGACTAAAAGTAAAAGTAATGATGGCAGCAAAACATTCAATGACAAAACTGTCGCATCACGATTCTTGCATTAGCCTTCCTTCTCACAGCCTGAACTTCAACACTGATGTCGAAAGACATGAGAGCTGCAACAAGATGGCTCTAGTGTCTTTGTGGCCGTAGGTAAGGGAGGTTTTCTCACAGCAAGCATAGGGTTGCTACAATCAGAAAGGTAAGCTAAAGAACCCCCAGCCCATGCCCCTGCAGACCCAAATGGTGAAGCTGCGAGCATTGCAGTATACGGACGGCGCCTTTGCCGCCGAAGACTGAAATCCTTTCTTTCTTGGTACCATGTGCTCTGACTCAAGAAGAAATGTTGTTCTGACAGAGAAACGTGATGTGCTAGGTAGGGAAGCACTAAACTACTAAACCTTAACCCCACACCTTAATCGAGTTGCTGAGCAGGCAGGCTTCTACATGGGTTTTAGGGGTCACCCTTGAGGATTCTTTCGGGAAAACTTTGGAGCTTGAACAATGAGAAAGCCCTCAGGCTGGCACCGGCTTGGCATCGTAGCTGCCTGGTACACGGAAGACAACCAACTACGATTTCGTGATTTGAGGCCTGACGGCTTGGGAGCTTGGGTCTTGCGGGCCTAGGCTTCTATGAATTTTCGTTTCAAACGAAAAGAAGATAGGACAGCTCTTGCAAGAGCAGGAAGCTCTTATCCCCACTCACAGGTGATACCCTCATCTAAACCCAACTAGGCCTCACGTGCATGCAGCACGAAATGCCAAGGCTAGAATCAAACCGGAATTGTCACACAATTTGAACGAGAAAAAAATGACATTTGCAGTACTCCCTTTCCAATGCTGTATCTCAAAAGATCTCGGAACTCCTAAACATAAACCCACCAAATAAAATTTCTGCAGGGTCTTCCCGTCCAGGTGTTGCAGGCCCAACACTTGAATCCATGAGCTGAACAGTTTACGGTTTATGCCTGCAAGCATTCAGAAGAAGCACTGGAACAGGCAGGAGGAAAACAGCAGCTGAAGCAGCATTCCTTATTCGAGGCCCGCACCCAACATGCTCAGCAACTCAAGTTGGAATCCAGACCCTGCACCCTCAACTGTGATCTTTGACTCTGGGGTTCGTAGCAGACGTTTGGGGTACAAGATGTCAAGCAAAGGTTCTCAACAACCCTCCACAAAATTGCTCGCGCGCGGCTTGACATTACCAGAAGCTAGACCAGTGCTCAATTTCAAAAGCAAGCAGGCCTGTCAGGAGGCCCATGAACTCACTCATGCAGTTTCGATGGAACCTGGCAAGTTTAGGAACCAAATCCTGACATGTCAACGTGAAATTCTAGCTGCGAAGCAGCCAAACTCCAGAACAAAGGAGGAAAGGCAATCAACGTTCAAAGCTGCACTCCTATGCCACAGACCATGGACTTTATTTCAAAGCATCCAACCAACGGCAACTTATGCGGCATCTCAAGATCCGCGACACCACTGGCACCAGCCCAACCAACATAGCCTCTGGGAGGAGCCGTCATCCCGTGTCTTCTCGGAAACAAATCACGCCCGGCCATCGAGGTTCACGGGTAGCTGTCAATGGGGCTATACTTGCCCAGGACAATGTGATGATCGCAGCTATCCTCTTCCTAACCCTGCCTACAGGTACTCTTGAACCTCCAGGTGAACCCTAGGGTGAAGTTCTTCCATGGATTCCATAGCGCCTGCGGAATCCCCTATAACCTTTTTGAAACCATGTACCCCTCCATAACCTGTCCATGACCCTTGTACCACTTGTCGAGCGCACCAGGGTGGCCGAAACGTTCCCTCTGCGGGCAGCCAGCGTGGAGGGAAAATCACAAAGTCCACCTCAGCATTTGAATGGTGTTTTGTGTGGGCTGAGCCAAGTGAGATTACATTCTTAAAACAAAAAAGGCTGCACCAAATGGATCGATATCATCAATATCTAGAATTACTTCCCCACTCCCTCTTAGCATTGCTAGGATGATGCAGAAAGGTCTCGATGCTTTCCTGCCGCTGATAACAGCGAAAAGCAATCCAAGATGACGACGAGAGCTATGAAGGGGTTCTCAAAATCTTGAGTACTGACAGCAGAGAACCGCGGAACCAAGAGAGGGACAACGATAGTAGCAAGAAAGAAAAGAGACAACAAGCACCATGAAGACAAGGATAGTGGCCGCTATGACAAGGGACATCAACTACGACATCAACTGTAGCAACGCGAATGCGATACATGCCAAAGTCAAACTCAAGGTGCACACCAAATTGTATTCCACGTATGCAAAACCGCAACTTGGGACTGTCAACTTTCATCCACCACGATGAATCACCAAATTGGTCAAACCAGGGAATGATGAAATGTGGATATATCTGCAGGGTTTCTTCCATCAACAATATACCCCCCCAGGAAACACATGCAGCTAAGCCTTGCACATTGGCGAGGCCGGGCGTTGCAGTGTACGAGGACAGGACCTGCTTTGACCGAAGTGACCCCATGACTCCATGACCTACTGTAGAGGCCACAATGATTAGGAAATCATCCCCTTGCGACCGATACATATATATATATATATATGTACATATATGTATTATTTTATATGTAAAGACACCTGATCTAATTTCTCAGGCTCTTATATTATATTCGGCTCGCAACCTAGTTCCCAAGACATGCTAACCTACATGTCGCGACTAATTAGTTATTTGCATGCTGAAGGTCTTCCAGTCAATAATAGTTCTGTCCTCGACCGCCTTAGTGGAGACCCAAGAACCCAAAAAGATTTATCTATAGACATATTTTCTACGACTGAAATCAATGCTCTAATATATGAAGCCAGCTAAAATGAAATGAGAAGAAATCATGCTGTACGAAGACCAGATGCAGGTTTCCATGGTAAGGCTCAATACAGACTCCAATACACCCCAATATACTGAAATTTCTTGGAACCCCCCTTCATTTTGAATGCTCTCATATGCCCTGGACTCAGACTAGGACGGTTCCGATTGACGGGTCCGGGTGGTCGTAGGTAACCTGCGGGCACAAAATTCTGGCATGCGAAGTCAATATAGAATTTCCCACCGGATGAAGGTCACCCAAATTACGGCACCATACACCATAATCAGAAGAAGATAGACAAAACACAGCTGCCCGTACTCTCAAGACGTTTCTATGTGAGTGGATGACCGGAAGCTGGAGCTCATGATATAAAACGTGAAATAGGGCCAATCTGATTTACAAACAACCCATGCGACACAAAGTGTGGGCAACTGGCCATGTGCTCTAGCGGAAAGCTATCACAGTGGCTCTGGTTCTGGCTGTGCATTTTGGTTTTTGTAAGAAGTGAGGGACAATTCACATAGCCCAGAAACATGCGGACTGGCGATGCACAGGTTTGAGAAGCTCCCATACCCCAACAGCAATACCAATGCTTTGGAGCCTATGAGGCTTGCGTTTTGCAGCATCTTGTGGCTAGTCTTTCTTCGGAGCGTCTGCTGATATGATGTCGGATATACCGCATTGAAGCAAAACAGTGGGTCCACTTTATAGCCCCCGAAGCACAGGAGTCTTCAATATAGGACTCAAAGCTAAAAACCTCTAATGTGAAGATCAACAGGCCGAAATGCTCCTGCATGATCTTGGGAAGGGAACCAGCTCATGAGCTAGCACCAGGTTGTTTAGGGGTTGGTGTCCAGAATTTGAGGATGCAGCAGTAACTGCCACTAGTCGAACTGTCTGAGGATTCAGCTGTGTTCACGGCCATGAACAGCCGCATGTCGTACTTGCCTCAACCAAGTAACCATACGTCAAATGAGGATCCTGAACGTCGAATCGACAAAGTAAACAACACCACAACTCAAGCAATGCAACAGAACATGCTCGAAGCTCAACACTCTGAAACCAAGAACCAGCGTCGTGAACACAATTCTACTAGGGGCTAGACTGCACTTGATGACAGGAAGCACCACAGGAAGAACTGTGCCTCTCATATGAACTCCTCATGCACGTTCGAAACTAGAGCAATGTTGGTGTTTCCTGTTCACAGAACTTCCTGATCTGCCTGGTGTTCAAACTGCAAGGAAGCTTCTTTGTTTTTCTTTCTTCATCACGATGCTTGGTTTCAAGCTGGGTGCTGCTCAGGAGCAAACTATACTGCCCTAGCCCGAGCGACGCGGAAAAGACGAGAAAGCAAATGCTGCTCCTGCCATTTTTCTTACGTCTGGGCGGCTAAGTTATCTTAGGACGCGCTGCGGCCGCGTGCCTGCCGGAAGGAAGCTGATTTACGGCGCGCGCACGCGGCGCAATTCTGGCATGGGCCTTCACACAGCTTCACAAAGCTGAACGCAATTTGCTCTCTGGCATTGCCTGCACCTGGCATCAGCCCATAATTTTTGTAGACAAACACGCATATTTGTATCCCCATGTCTGGGAACGTCTTGAAGACTCTCTGATTGGTCCAACTTTTGTCTGGGAGTGTTGGCGGTACTTTCAACACATGAGGAAGAAAACAGCTTTTTGGTGATTGTTGATAGCGTCGGTGAATGTTTATCCAAAGTAAGTTGCTTGCATTTTCCTTGGCACACGAGTGTCATCCATAAAATTTGATCGAAGACTGTCTGTGGTTTAGCATCAAGTTAATACATTTGGCCAAAAATGGGTTCAAAGATCTTAAAGATTGTATGTTCCTGACTCTGCTTGGACGTGATGCAAAATTGTTTGTACTGTGTGGGTGTCCCGTGCTGAACAAGAATCTATCGTCAGCGTAGGTAGTGGTTGCTGTTTATTGTGGCGTACTCATGTAAAATTTGATAGCACCTGAGGTAGCGGTTGCTAGTATGACAAAATGACACCGGGATAACGGGCTTTGACGAATGCTGGATCTTGTTTGTGCTTGCCCTAGTGAAGTTGACCTTGTGAGACGCGAAATTCAGCATTGCTGAAAATTGTACATGTCTGGGATGACCCTAAGGCTGCGATCTGGTAGGGATGGGCAGGATGGAACTTCCATGAACTTTGTTCGGCTCACTTTGTCACATGCTCTTGCCATTTATATAACAACACCAACTCTATGTTGGTGCGCTGGCATTCGGCCATCTCCATAAGTCTCTTGCTATGACAATTGCTGCTGTGCATTTTTTGCAGAATCCATCTCAAGAGCTACTGACAGCCACTCCAGGCACCACAAGCCTGAAACCTGGACAGACTGTTCGATGGAAAGCACCAGGAACTGATTTCGCCTGTGGATTCCTTCTTCAGATATGATCTTGCGCTGAGTGTTGCTGGGAGTCTGCGACCTTGCTGGTGGCTGCTTATCGTAAGCATGCCTCACATTACACAGACATCCCGCCAAAAAGCTTCGCAACGCCTGAATCTGAGTCCCAAATTCTTTTCTACGTAGTTGAACATGACTATAAGACTCGGAACCCAACTGACTTCGCAAAATTTGGTTGATGAAATGTACCCCCCAGAAGCTTAACTCACTGGAAAAGAGGATCCCTAAATTCATATATCCCTACTACATGAGCCAAGCTGCATGGAACCAAATTCCCATACCAGGCCACGACGTCAAGCGGCGAGTGTCTACAGGGCAGCTTGCTTGGAAATAGTTTAGGGCCAGGGCTCAGGATTGCCAGGCGCAGGTAGCGACTAGGGTTGGGAATTACGCGTTCCACAAACGAGCATGTCGTAACAAAACGTAGGCATCCATACACCATATGCATCAGTTGGAAAGCGAGGTTGCTGCATTCTCTTCTTAAAAGCCCATATTGCTCAGATGCAGTTGTTGCAAAATCATTACTTACAGTAAGGCAAAATCTAAAAAAGGCAAGTTTTCTGGCAATCCGAGATCTCAAGTAAGGTCTGAAACCCAGGCTTATTGTTTGTGAGGCGTGGCGGTCGAAGGATGTGTCGCAGCCTACCGCCAAGATCCTTCTGCATAGTTGAAACCAACTTGCCGAGACCTTGACGGACAAAAACAGAATACACGCCAAAGAAAAACGTACACATATTGATGTGAAGCAACAAGCAACAAGCAACACAGCCCTTTTACCCCATGGAGCGAGCCATATGTATTCCACAGGCTCAAAAAAATCAAACTTACCATGACCCCAAGCCTTGAATCTCAAAGCTTCACCTCATCAACCCTCTGCCACACCTGATCGGAGAACGGTACAAAGTACCTGCAAACTTGGAGATCAACTCCTGGGCCACAAATGAGGCTTTAGGCTTTAGAGGCTAGAGATTTCGGGCTCATAAGGCCCGGGGTTCGGTGCAGCAGAAGCACCCTGGTGTCAGAACTCCGGGTTCAATGGCTACAGGGTTGAGAACAAGTGCTCAGGCAACTTTGCAATAGATGCATCATCCTGAGGTGTATACAGCCCTGCCTACTTCCGAAGCATCTGCCAGAAAACCGCATTTACTGGCATGGAATAAGGTTTGAAGCTGGTTCCAGGTAACTCTTGAAGACTCTCTTAGTGAGCCTATGTCACAGAGTAGAAATTGCACAGCCCGATTGTATCTTACCCTCCGACCAAAACACTAGATTGCCCAATTTCTACGAGTAAAAGCTACCCTTTTTTTGCAGCCAAGTGTGTCTTGAAGTACAGCTGTCTGATAATTGCAAACAAAGATCACGAAGACAAGTTATCGATCATTGTCTTCATGCTGCATGTTCATTACGTACGACCCCACGTCAAGTGTCACCAAGATATCTCAGGATGTCTGCACACAGCAGAGGTAATTGTAGTCGTACTTGTCGGCTAGCAGTCATACTAGCAGTTGTGAGAGTCCACGCAGACAATTCAAGCTGCTGAGCGGGATCGTCCCGACACGTGCAGTTTGCCAGAAACATGCTTAGGCCAACGGGCATGAGAATGTCTTCGGCGACACTGCCTAAAGAACCCTAAGTCCACCCCTAGCATTCCCTTGGTACAAATACAGCTGGCAAGTTCAGAGTTGAAGAATCGGCGCTTCAGGGCACGTTGTACGGTCAAGAGATGGGTGTCCAGGGTTCAACAGAACGGCTCTGATCCCCCTATACATCCTCAAATGGCCGGGGCAAAACTTTACAAAGAACTAACGATTAAAATGGTGAAAATACTTCCGTCGAGCGGCACATTCGCCCTCTACCTCTTCAAACTGGGCCTGTCGAGCTTGGCTGAAGGGCTACTCATAGTTAGTCGGGAAGGGAGAAAGAAAAGCACTGTATATTCAGGAGTGGACGGGACATGAGTGCTTGGCTGCACAGAGAACGGGCCACGTCTGACCTTCAGCTGATGGAAACATCGCTGAAACGTGCTCAAAGCATGGACAACGTTAGGGAAACGGCGCCCTGAACATTCTTTGGGATCTGACCGGTATGAGGAATAAACTCTGCATGGATCCTGGTTGCGCTGTATCACTCTGCAGCCAGTCATCACTTTCATGCACAGGGCCTCTTCCTATCACAAGAGCGAAGGTGATGTCCTGGCCCTACATCTCCTTTCTAGAAAGGTACAAAGGGTCTTCAAACGATGGTGTTCGAACAACACAACGGGCTGTAACAGCCCCCATCATCGCTGGCTTCGTACTCGCATCGTTTCAAAAGACGTTGGGCGTTGTGGTTGCTTTTAAAGTCTTATTGTTTCTCCCATCAAAATACATGTTTGCTGCAGGGCCCGTGTGAACAGCAATTGTTACACGTTGGTTCTCATACAACACGACACCATAGAATCGTGCCTACCGTGCACGGTTTCCAATAAGAACCAGGGACCCCAAAAGGTGTACCCGGGACATCGGACCAATTATGTGCAGACCCCAAGAAGAGGACCCTCACTACCGAAGATCAGCATCTACACTTAAAAGAGCCCTCCAGGCTGTCATTGCAACACAACTTCTGCTAGAACGCGCCACCAGCTTCCAAAAAAATGATCTCTCCCTAAGCGCGGCTCCCAACTCCATGAAGCCAATCAAAACTACATCGAGCCTTGCTTCGACCTGCATGAACCCTCGCACAAAATTGTACTATCAAACCTTACCCTGCTTTTAAGCCCAGCAGGAAAATCAATATCAACCCACATCCAACAAAGCGCCCTGTACTTCCCCAAGAAGCTGCGAAGATCCCTATGAACGGTTTCTAGAAGTCTCTTCAAGTTTTCTGAACTTCAGATCTGCGAAAATTAGCATTTCATTTCGAGCATCCCTCTTAAAAACAGTTCGGCAAAAACCGCCTCTTGCCGTAACCATGACCCCACAACCCTAAACGCGATTGACAGGAGCAGAAGGTCTCAATACATCGGGATTGCGAGGAGGTCTCTCTGAAGGATTCTGGGGTAACATTTGGAGAGACTTCTACTTACCTTCCATGGCACAGACGGGCCCCTTCTAGCTGGAGGGTTCTGGACCCTTGAGCTTCCAAGCGTGGGCCTTACATGGGCATCCTTGTCTCTGAGCAAACTTGAGGCACTTTCCCGAAGCAGCCCCCTGCCCAAAAACTTCCCTTCACTGTCAAAAGCGTGAAAGCTCTCTTACATGTTAGGCTTTCAGTGGACGGCTTCTGGCAATGCAATGTTGATCGACATGGACCTAGCTGAGTTGGCTGGTTTGACTGCCTGAAGAGCATGTGTACCATGGCTGCCTTGGGGGCCAGGAAGTGGCGCGGGTGCGCCAAACCGCCGGAGATGCCAATCCTGGCAGACATGGGATTTGGATACTTCGGGGGGTTTAGGATTGTCGGGTCTCATTTTGGGTGCTTGGGGTTGTATGGTCCTAGGGTTTGGGCGTTTCAGGTTTGTTGAGGTTTAGGCATGTGGGGTGTGTGAGAGAAAAGGTGTCCAGGCTCCTTTGGGATTTGGGACTTAAGGATTTTCCAGGGTTTTGATTTCTTTGGGTGTTAGGGTAGGAATAATTGTAGGTTTAGGATTCTGGGGCGTTCGGGTTTTGGATGTTCGGGCCTTGGGGAATTTAAGTTCACAATTTTGTACCTCACACTGCAAAGCACCCCCTCATGTGCTCCATGAAACCAGAGTTTTGCTTAAGTCCTACTTCGTAGCCATGTCGAGAATTCCTGCAAATGAGAGTGACGAGACGTCTTTCGTTCCTTCCTTCCTTTCTTACTTGCT